TACGACACCACATCTAGCATGAGAATGGAGGTGGAGGCGGTAACTGCAGCTATCCGGTGGCTAGAGAACAAGGAGCATACACACGTCGTAAATGTAATAGACACTGAAGGCATGCTGAGAAAGGTGGAGACAGAGATGCTTTGAGCAGAGTGGCAAGCTTCACTGGAAAGGTCACAGGTAGTGAACATACTTTGGATCTTTTCTCCAGGCCATGCCTGTGTAATGGGTAATAAACATGCACAGATTGGCTTGATCTGAACTACTTGGTGGTGAACTGATAAATGATAAGGCAGATGTGGTCAAGGCCCTTTGGGAACAAGCAATGGAATCAGTAGAGAAACAAGATTATTATGGCCTGGGGAGAATGAGGCACCTGCGTGTAACCAGAGGGTATGGCCGGCTCACTACACTCAGAGGAAAGGCAAGACAGACATAAAACCAGATTGTGACCCGTACCATCAGTATTAGAACTCTGCACTGGCTGCTGAAGATGAGGATGGAGCACACATGGGAATGCCCTGAGTGCTGTGATGTCAATTCTTAACTCAACTGGTCCACATACTAGAAAATATATCCTTTCCTTTGCACATTTATCATGCTAAAAGTATATAATTTACCCTTTGTGCACTAAACAACCTGCTAGCAAATATTTTCTATTATTTGTGCACTCAAAAACATGCTAAAAAATACATGTACTCTTTGTACACTCACAAATTTGCTCAACAAAACAATTCCTCAAACAAAACACACACAAAAAAACCACAAGTCTCAAATAACAAATTCAACAAATATTTACTATGAATATGCAATCCTTGAAATGGCAGTTTAAAAAAAAGTTACTTATAACATATTATAAATGGCATATACAATTTTGAAATGCTAGGAATTCTTACACACACATACACCTTGGTTTTATGGGCCCCAATATATGGATATTGGAAGTTTTAAAATATGTGTGATAACACTAAAAGACTACATATTGAACATACTGTGTTCAGACATTTTACATTATCATACTGGACGTTGTGCAAGATTTGTATTTCATAACGAACATGTTGATCTGTTAAAAAGGGAAAGGACCCTTTTTCATGCCTTTTAGGCATATTGGGTGTACAGGGCTAGACCTATATTTTACAGACCAATCAATACTTGGTGGGTGATGTGGTCAAGGCCCTTTGGGAACAAGCAACAGAATCAGTAGAGAAACAGGATTATTATGGCCTATAGAGAATGAGGCACCTGGGTGTAACCAGAGGGTCTGGCCGGCTTACACTCGGAGGAAAGGCAAGATGGACATATAACCACATTGTGACCGGTACCATCAGTATTGGAACTCTGCGCTGGCTGCTGAAGATGATGACAGAGCACACATGGGAATGCCCCGAGTGCTGTGGTGTCAATTCTTTACTCAGCTCAACTCATTATCATTGCCAATCAACAGGTCCTTTGCAGAACGTCACTCTCATCACAGCACGCCTCAAAGTCTCCATTTCTCCGGCCATGTATTCTTTCACAGCCTATGCATCTTCAGTGTCGGGTATCTGCCTCTATGTAGGTCTGTGTCGCATGTGGATTTGCACTAGAACGCACCAGTACTGAGTGAGCAAATAGGACGACAAAACAATACGTAATCCTGTTAAGGGATTGTTGTCAAAAGCATTCGATGTAAACAGTCTGAAGGAGACAGACGTGTGGATCCTTGAGGACGCTTTACCCCGGGATGCCACCAAAAGCATTCGATGTTTAGTCTGAAGGAGACAGACCTGTGGATCCTTGAGGACGTTATACCCCGGGACTCCTCTAGAAACCTCAGTGAAAAGCTGGTGTATTGTCTATTGCGCACGGCAACTAGCCGGTATACTTATACTACCTTGATCAGACTGCAGAAGAGAAGATCGAGATGACCGTCCGGATTTCCAAGGTCGGACTGAGATCGATGTGACTGTCCGGATTTCCAAGGTCGGACTGAGATCGATGTGACTGTCCGGATTTCCAATGTCGGACTCAGATCGATGTGACTGTCCTGATTTCCAAGGTCGGACTGAGATCGATGTGACTGTCCGGATTTCCAAGGTCGGACTGAGATCGATGTGACTGTCCGGATTTCCACGGTCGGACTGAGATCGATGTGACTGTGCGGATTTCCACGGTCGGACTGAGATCGATGTGACTGTCCGGATTTCCAAGGTCGGACTGAGATCGATGTGACTGTCCGGATTTCCAAGGTCGGACTGAGATCGATGTGACTGTCCGGATTTCCAAGGTCAGACTGAGATCGATGTGACTGTGCGGATTTCCACGGTCGGACTGAGATCGATGTGACTGTGCGGATTTCCAAGGTCGGACTGAGATCGATGTGACTGTCCGGATTTCCAAGGTCGGACTGAGATCGATGTGACTGTCTGGATTTCCAAGGTCGGACTGAGATCGATGTGACTGTCCGGATTTCCAAGGTCGGACTGAGATCGATGTGACTGTCCAGATTTCCAAGGTCGGACTGCGACCCGTCGTTTGTAATGAAGTCAGTTGATGTACGAGTGGTTGCTTGTGTTGGCATGTTTGAATGAGTCTACAGTTTTATTAATTGCACATTTTCTCCTTCTGTTGATCAATGTGTATGTCAATACACCAAAGTAACCTTTATAAGAGCATTCATCGTTCACTGCGTTTGGAAACCTTGACGTTCATAATGTTTTGCCACACTTGGCCTACGGCATTTGTTACATTAACGACGCCCTATTTCATCGTTGGTACGCCCATCACAATGAAGCCACCACACATCACAGTCTGCTTCTGCTCTTTTTCCGAAACTTGTACCCTCCATCACTGTTTTCTCCAGGCCTCCATTTCATGGCCAAAATACAAAAAAAAATACATTCCAAAAATACAGATGATATTACACTGGTTCAACAGAGTTAAATCTCAGCCTTCCAGATGATTCTTCTGTTTATAGTCCATACCTAGTGGCGTTGGTACTCATGTCTATCCACAACCTTCTGTATCCTGTACTTTCAATCAATCCTGATTTAGATGATCTTCAATTCCTTGTGACGTTGGTAGTCATGTCTATCCACAACCTTCTGTATCCTGTACTTTCAATCAAATCTGACACAGATGATCTTCCATACTTTGTGATGTTGGTAGTCGGGTCTATCCACAACATTCTGTCTCCTGTACTTTCAATCAAATCTGACACAGATGATCTTCCATACCTTGTGACATTGGTAGTCTTGTCTATCCACAACCTTCTGTCTCCTAAAATTTCAATCAACTCTGACACAGATGATCTTCCATACCTTGTGACATTGGTAGTCTTGTCTATCCACAACCTTCTGTCTCCTGAAATTTCAATCAACTCTGACACAGATGATCTTCCATACCTTGTGACATTGGTAGTCTTGTCTATCCACAACCTTCTGTCTCCTGAAATTTCAATCAACTCTGACACAGATGATCTTCCATACCTTGTGACATTGGTAGTCTTGTCTATCCACAACCTTCTGTCTCCTGAAATTTCAATCAACTCTGACACAGATGATCTTCCATACCTTGTGACATTGGTAGTCTTGTCTATCCACAACCTTCTGTCTCCTGAAATGTTAATCAAATCTGACACATATGATCTTCCAATCCATGTCAAACTGTCCAGCACATCTGTCTTGGTCTCGCTCTGTCTCTTTTCCCCTCCAAGTTTCCCACCATCACAATATACTCCTGTGTTCTCATTCTCATGGCACAACAAAAGAAAGAAGACTGTTCTAGATGGCTCAGAAATAGTTAGTTGCAAATCCTGTACCGGACATTACAAACCAACATCAGCATCTTTTGGCTGTTTGTAGTTTTACTACAAACCAACATCAGCATATATTGGCTGTTTGTAGTTTTACTACAAACGAACATCAGCATCTATTGGCTGTTTGTAGTTTTACTACAAACAAACATCAGCATCTATTGGCTATTCATAGTTTTACTACAAATCAACACAACATTAGCATCTATTGGTTATTCATAGTTTTACTACAAACCAACATCAGCATCTATTGACTGTTTGTAGTTTTACTACAAACCAACATCAGCATCTATTGGCTGTTCGTAGTTTTGGTACAAACCAACATCAGCATCTATTGGCTGTTTGTAGTTTTGGTACAAACCAACATCAGCATCTATTGGCTGTTTGTAGTTTTAGTAACAACCGCATCTTTTAGCTGTTTGTAGTTTTACTAAAAACCAACATCAGCATCTTTTGGCTGTTTGTAGTTTTGGTACAAACCAACATCAGCATATATTGGCTGTTTGTAGTTTTGGTACAAACCAACATCAGCATCTATTGGCTGTTTGTAGTTTTGGTACAAACCAACATCAGCATATATTGGCTGTTTGTAGTTTTGGTACAAACCAACATCAGCATCTATTGGCTGTTTGTAGTTTTAGTAACAACCGCATCTTTTAGCTGTTTGTAGTTTTACTAAAAACCAACATCAGCATCTATTGGCTGTTTGTAGTTTTACTACAAACCAACATCAGCATCTATTAGCTGTTTGTAGTTTTACTAACAACAGCATCTGTTGGCTGTTTGTGGTTTTACTAACAACAGCATCTTTTGGCTGTTTGTAGTTTTACTAACAACAGCATCTATTGGCTGTTTGAAGTTTTACTAACAACAGCATCTGTTGGCTGTTTGTAGTTTTACTAACAACAGCATCTTTTGACTGTTTGTAGTTTTACTAACAACAGCATTTGTTGGCTGTTTGTAGTTTTACTAACAACAGCATCTATTCGCTGTTTGTAGTTTTACTAAGCAGTTTTACATTCAGTAGTGTGCCACTGCTTTCAAAACAGTCATGGTCCACACCACTGTCAAAACCAATGCAAAGCGATCTGCAACCAAATCGCTTGCAGCTGAATCAAAAATCGGTATTTCAAAATTATAAGCCACATTCTAGCCCCTAAGGCAAAGATGCTGACGATTTACAAATGATAGCATTTATCTGATCTGCAGGTCAGGGGTCATTGCCGCAGTCATGAACCAAAACTTCCTTGAGCTCACAGTTTTGATGACAAATCGGCAGGTATTTGGCTTTAATCGACAGGAGCTCTGAAAATGTAAATATCATAGGACCAGTTAGATTCTGCGAATGAGACTTTTTACAGCAGAAACATCAGGGATGAAAGCAAAGGGAAGATCAAGAAAGACAAGGATAAAACAGTGTAGCTGACACCGGTATAAAAAAAAAAAAAGATGAACAAACCCGCCACCCAAGACAAGTACAGAAAACCTTGACATTGGGCTACAACGTGGTACCAGTGAGACAACAAAAGAAGAAGAAGAAGAAGTTAAGATTCAAATCCCTACTGAAGTCCATTTATTAAAATGACATGGGTTTTCAGGTTGACCCAGCTTAAACTGGATACCAGAAATAAAGGCAGGCAAACTGATATGGCGCTTACCTGCGGATCCCAAGGTCATGGGTTCAAATCCAACTTTTTTCTAAAACACCTTGGCTCCGCTCCGAGGTCGACCCAGCCTTAAGTGGATACTTGGTGAAAGTCAGTGAAAGTAAAGGCGGCTGACATGATGCTGACCACATCACCCATGGAGTGTCTCCTGGTGCAAACAATCTAGGTCCAGCCCTACATGCCCAGTACACCTCAAGGTGCGGGCACATGGTCTCTTACTAGTTACTGAAACTGATTTGTCAGCGTCTGTGGCTTAGGCATTGAGAACACGCTTTGTAATTCCAGGGTACCTGCTTCAATTTCAGCTGCAGGTGATTGGGCTTTGCACTGATTTCACAATGGTAATGAGAGCCGACCGTCTGGTGGCAATAGCAAATTGCTTACTACCCACAAATTTCCTAGTGATATTGGCTTAACAATATGGTGCTGACAGTATTTATTAAATGCATTGTAACAGTATAAAAAGTGATCCTTAAAACTGACCAATGTTTCAGTTCCCAAGGAATGACTGCGTTAACTGAAAGCTTTATAAATATGTCACATGTTTGTTAAGGAGCAATAAGTCTCCCCCCCCCCCACCTTTTTTCCCCCAAAATAAATCGAACTCAGAACCCACAGAGGAGACATTTAGGTTTAAACATTTTAATTTTTAATCTGCGTCTGATTCCATCTTTTCTTACAGTCCTTAAGTTAAAATCAAGAGGATCAGCTTCACTGGCACAAGGTTTTATCTCCTATGGCTCAGTCTCTCTCAGCAGAATGGCTAGCTGCCTGCCAAGACTCACAAAAAGCATGAACTTCGTAGCCCTGGAGACCATCCCTAAGAATCTTTGTGAAAATTGCACATATGAACTGAATGACACAGCCGAGACACAAACCTATGACATTCAGAGCAATGGTTTGACCACTCTACCATGGAAATCACGTCCACCCACAGCCCCTAGTCACATTTACTGTCAATTATTGTAGATGCAGATGGGTACTTTCATGTGCCAAACATGGACACTATCTAAAGCCCATATACGCAAAATCCCCACCTGCAAGATGAGATGCCTGAGAAAAGCAGCTAACCTAACCATCCGAGATCGAGTGAATAATGAAACTATCAGGCAAATTGTGGGAACGACACCTTGTACTAGATTCATTGAGAAACAGCAGATCAAGTGGTTTGGCCATCTCGTTTGAATGCAGCAAGATCAAAAAATCATCACAAGCACTACATCTCAGAAGATCAGCAACAAGAGCAAGAGACAGCCGTGGAAAATATCGATCAAGATCAAGACACTCTTGCCTTCACGGCATGACAATAGCCAGTGGCAGCCAGCGTGCACTGGATGGCAAATTGTTTCTCCCCACGAGACTTAACGGCAGAAGTGGTTTATGATGATGATGACTTTAATGCTACACGACCACATCTTGTCGGCTTTGAGATTTCCTAGGGAATTCCTAGGGATCCCTAGGGGTTTCCCTGGTCAGTACCATATTATGGAAGGGGTGGAGGGGTTAGGGCTAGTGTTAAATGAATAGCGACTACTACTAGGCCTATCCCTAACCTCCCTATACTCTGGGAAGTTCTGGGGATTTCCCTACCAAATCTCGAAGCCAACGAGATGTGGTCATATAAGATTAAAGTACCTACTGATGTTCTTCCTTGGCAGAATACCAAACTGTGTACTTAGTCTCCCTCTGTCACTCTTCCCTGTTAACTTTCCTGTTGTCTCGACATACTCCATTCCTACCCTTCTCATGGCATGCACAAAGAATACAGACTGTCTTTTTCTGATGTGGAATATAAGTTCTCCTTGTGAGTTAACTGCATTCATCATCATCATCATTTGTTTAAATGCTGTAAATGTGTTGTGTCTGTTTACAACGTAGCTTAAATACTTGCACCTTTCGGCCAACACATCTTACTTCTTCTGGCATTTGTTATCTGGGTTAGCCTTCTTAGTTTTATGCACTCAACAGATCTTTACACTTGTCTCTGCCCCGTGATGTTCTCAGTCTTCTGCAAAGCTATTCTTCTACTTCTTCATCACATTCATCGGTTGTAAACTCCAGGGAAAAATCCTCCTGATGGGGGAAAGTCCTCCTGGCTGTTTGTCAATTTCTAGACTTTCGTCTTGTTCCAGAACCTGAGTCTCATAAGCAAATCCATTTTTACAGATCTGGCTTATTCGTATGCAAACTTGGTTCCTTGCCTCTATGGCAGATGCACTCCAACTTAAAAAAAAAAAATTGTTCTGATCTATGTTATCCAGGCTCCTTGTAGGAAACCTGCTTAAAGCAACTTTCTCTTCTTTCAATTCTCTCTGCCACTGGTTTACAGATGAAAAGTCAACAGATCTCTAAGAGGTATGTGGTGCGACGTATGTCTTCAATTGTTTCAAAGAATTTTTTTATTTCATTTGTTCAATTGCAGATAGATCTTTGCCAGTGTGAACCTTGATTCTTGTGCACCACCACATGTGATTCACCACCACATGTGATTCACCACCACATGTGATTTACCACCACATGTAATTCACCACATGTGACTTACCACATGTGATTCATCAACATATGTGATTTACCACCACATGTGATTCATCACCATATGTGATTTACCACCACATGTGATTCATCACCATATGTGATTTACCACCACATGTAATTCACCATGTGTGACTTACCACCACATGTGATTCATCACCATATGTGATTTACCACCACATGTAATTCACCATGTGTGACTTACCACCACATGTGATTCATCCCCATATGTGATTTACCACCACATGTGATTCATCAACATATGTGATTTACCACCACATGTAATTCATCACATGTGACTAACCACCACATGTGATTAACCACCTCGGCCTCCACGAAGCTATTTTACTTTTTGTTTACCTTTAATAGTGACAAAGTGAGCATCATCACCCATAGGCACTGAAGATGACCTTCTGTGTCGTCTACCCAGTCCTCCCATACACTGGAGTCCCGCCAGCGTCAAGCAGATCAAAAACACAATACTTATATAGGCATACTGCCCTTGTATCTTTCTGTGGAACAAAAATTAAAGAAGTTAGCATTTTTCTTCTTCTTTTTCCTCTACGGAAGTTAGCATGTTTCTTCTGCTGCTCATTCTTCTTCTTCTTCCTCTTCCCTTCTTCCTCCTCCTCTTTTTCTACTTCTTCTTCTTATTATTATTATTATTCATCTACTTCCTCCTCCTCTTCTTCTTCCTCCTCTTTCTCCTCCTCTTCTTCTTGAAGAAGTTCTTCTCCTCCTCCTCCTCCTTCTTCTACTACTTCTTCTTCTTCTGTGATCTCTAACCCAGAGACATGATGATGATGGCTTACAAAAATAAGTAAAAGGGCCTCTCAAAGGCAAGTAGCTCATCCCAGATATCTTCTTCTTCTTCGCGTTCACCAGCTGTAAACTCTGGCGGAAGGTTCTGGTTGCTCGTCCACTACTGGACTGCAGTCCTGCTCCAGAACCTGAGTGTTGCGTGTGCATCAGTTTTACAGATCTCATTCTCTTGAATACAGACTGTTGGTTCCTTGCCTCTCCGGCAGATGCACTCCGACTTCAAAGGAAGCTCCCCAATTAGTCGACTCTTACGACATGCTTTTGGGGAGGCAGTGGGTCTATTCTTGTTTTCCCCACAATGGGGCCCCGGAACCCACACGGGGGATCCCAGATATGATGTTACACTATAAACCAATCAGCAATCTGTGGGTGATGTCAAAGAAATAAGTTCTAGACGAATTTCAGAATATTATGGGGATGCTCTCAGAAAGAAAGGGGATGAGGAGGGAAACTGATCCCATATCCCCTATACCCTGGCCTCCCTGTGTGGGTTCTGGGAGGGGAATAGACCCACTACCTCCCTTCTAAGCAGGTCATATAAGGCGACTAATTAAGGGAGTCTCTATTGAAATCGGAGTACATCCACTTCAGCAAAACTCAAATTCTGGAACAAGACCAAAATCCAAAACTGGATGAAGAGACAGAACTTTCCACCGGAGTTTACAGCCAGTGAACTTGGAGAGAATCCCTTCCGATGCCATACCATGTCAAGGTATATACTAAAAGAGGAGAGGGACGTAGAGCAAGAGGTAGACCAAGAACAAGATAGAAGAATAACATCAGAGAAACTCTACAGTACTATGATGTGTCTTCGGTTGAAGCAGTCAGAAAAGCACGAAGCAGGACCTTATATCTCCCTCAATACCCGAAGCAGTAAAAGAGAACATAAAGAAGAAGAAGAAAGCTAAGAAGAAGAAGATATGCCCTGGTCTAGAATAATGAATGTTGTTGAATGAAGAACTGACATCACAGCACTCTGGACATTCCCATAAGCACTCCATCCTCATCTTCAGCAGCAAGCGCAGAGCTCCAATTCTGAAGGCACTAGTAACAATCTGACTGTATATCCATCTCACCTTCCCCTACAATAGCTGTTCTTAATATGTGGGTCGCGACCCCTTTGTGGGTCAAATGACCATTTCATAGAGGCCTCATAAAACTATTGGAAAACACATATTCACAGAAGTTATGAATTAGCAATGAAAATAATTGTATGGTTGGGGGTCACCACAAGATGAGGAACTGTATGAAAGGGTCACGGCATTAGGAAGTCAGTGAACCGCTGCCCTAGAGGGTTTAGCGTCGGCTAGATCCCCTGGCCCCTTCTTGCAGCACCATTCTCCTCAGACCATGATGATCTATTTTTTTTTTGCCTTCACACTATTCACTCACTCCCAAAAAGACCCTTACAACATCTAGCATGTCATGCATCAATTCACCATAAGTAGTGAAGAACCTGCCAGTCTATCTGCCTGTTCATTACCCAACACACTGGCATGATCCTGGATAAAAATATCCAAAGGACACTAACTACCTTGGGTTTCTGAAGTGATGCTTGCCACTCTGCATAGCCTTGAATATATGAAGGTCTAACAATTCACATCAACAAAGACACTATCTTACTATGGGACTATCCTACCATGGGACTACTCTACCATGGGGCTACCCTACTATGGGGCTATCCTACCATGGGGCTATCCTACCATGGGGCTACCCTACTATGGGGCTATCCTACTATGGGGCTATCCTACCATGGGGCTACCCTACTATGGGACTATCCTACTACGGGACTATCCTACAATGGGACCATCCTACTAAAGGACTATCCTACTATGGGACTACTTTATCATGGACCATTTTCAAACTTTCAAACTGTTATAAAACAAGTAAACTGAGACAACTGACACAAGTTAAGACCTCTTCTTCTGCATCTTCTTAGCATTCACCAGCTGTACATTCTGGCAGAAAGTTTAGAAGAATATCTGTCACCTTCTGGACTGAATACATATGCAGATTGTTGGTTCTTTGCCTTGCAAGGACTTCAGTTTTGAAGGAAATATCCCTTATTAGCTGCCCCCCCCCCCTCTCCCCCTCCTTTCCAGAAATGGAGCCCTAGAATGCATACATGGAAAACTAAGACAACAGATACAAACTTACAATTTCCGAAGACTCCAAAGCTGTCTCAATTGTACCTGATACAAGGTCACATTATAAGATGCTTCTTTTAGGGCCACTGTTATATTCACAGTCTGATTGTCAAATCGTTCTTGCGGCTCATTAGGCGATGCAAGCTGTGGGCTAAGAAGATGTATATTTTGCTGGTGTGTGTGCGGCTGTGGTATTTTCAGCTCAATTCTGGATTGTACATCACTATCATGTTCAGCAAGCTGGTTTGTGCCCATCATCTGCGAATGTTGGAGGAAATGATGATTCAAACAAAAGAAAATAGTTGGACAGGGTCCTGTTGTCTTAGAGTACACCTAGATAAAACATGCATGAATGAATCTGGCATCTATTGAGCAGGCAGACATACTCCTGCAGGACTGCTTTAACTATTCTTGGCAAAGGTTAAGGATCGGGCTCAGGGCTCAAAGAAGCTACATTATGAAACAAGCTGTGGGGGAGTCGGCAGTGACCTTGGTTCAACATCCTGTTTGTGATCCAGTTGGGACTAAATGTTTAGCATGGCTGAGTTATCATATGCTGATGTTTTGGTGTACCATCAGGGCAAAGACCGGAATGAGGTTGCAGAGGAACTTCAGTATGAACTTGACTGCATAACCAGTTGGTGTGGTGAGGCAGGAGCACAGGTCAACCCACAGAAGACAGCAGTGACATAGTTCTCGCTAAACAACCGTATCGTCAAAACTCCAACACCAATTCTAAATTTCTGCTCCGAGGTGATAGAAAGAGCCTGCAATGAAATACCTGGGAGTTCTTTTTGATCGCAGTCTGGCATTTACTGGGCACATAGATGTGTAGTAGCGAAGACTAGGAGGGGTCTGGCAGCTATGAGGGTCAGGGTGGCAGCAAACTGTGAACAGCAGCATCTCTGTCTTATATATCAAGGTCTGGTCTTTTCAGTGATCGAGTATGCCCTGGCAATCCTTACTCTTAGCCAGACCCAGTCAGAGAGACTGGAAAAGATACAAAACTAGGACATGCGCATTATACTTGGGTGCACTCAAAATACAGTATGCAGAGCAATGTGGTATTTCCTTGGTTATCCAGCAAAGGAAGCTTGAATAAGGATCTGTCGAACACACGCCTACTTCTGAGTCAGTGCCGACACACAAAACCCACTGCATAGTAAAATCAGGAAAAGGAAAGGCAGCAGATTAAAGAGGGGGCAATCATGGATGGACTTGAGGACATAGAACTTGGGAAAGACTTGGTACGTGTACCACCAGAGTGATATGTCCTTTGAAGATGCATCAAGCTGAACAGAGAATGACGACAACAAAGCCTTGTAGGTGAGGGTGATGTGATCATCTATACTGACTGGTCTGTCATTCAAAATGTCAGCAGCTCATGTGCATTTATTGCTCAGGTTGGAGGGAGAACTGTGAAACAAGCTGTCGCCTTGAGCAGCTGATTGTGCAGTTCATGGCTGTCACTAAAGCAGTTCATGGAGTCCCTGGATAGACCTAGGCTGATAAAAATCAGCTTTATATTTTTTTCCGGGACATTCTGGTGTAAATGGCAATGAACGAGCTGACAGACTTGCACGTGGTGCTCACAGGGAAATGGACGGGCAATGGACAGGGCTGACATACTGAATGCCCTCAGAGAGGCAGCTCCATTAAACGAATTAAGTAATGATTGTGAAACTGCAACACTGACGAGACTACATAAGCATAACATTAAAAAGGGTGAAGCCAGACAAGAGCGCTACACAGAGGCTCAAAGAAGAGTAAACCAACACAGAACATAAGCCAGTTCACGCTGGATATTATATTCCCTGCTAAGAAAATAAGATTTTTACTGTTTGTTGATTGTGACTATTGGACGTAAATTTGCCTATAAAAACCACACAACAGCCAGGGGCTGTTGGGGGGTGGTTCTACAACGTCCTGTAAAGGAAAGGCAAAGGATACGCAACTAACCTGTTTGTGTTCAAGACCCGTTGTTCCCCAGGACCATGCCAGGAGTATAATAGTAATACACGACGTGTGCTGGACTTTCATTTCAGGCGAGGTTTTCGTAATTTTCCTGGCATTATTTATCTCTTACACTTTACATTTGTTTATGTTTATTGTTTATTGATCTGGTAATCTAAGTTTCAGCTTCATGTTTATTGTTGGTACAGTTAAGACGTGTCAACAGTCAACACTATCCTATAACCCGGAAGTAAATGTTCAATCATCTTCATCATCATCATCATCATCATCATGTTCCTGAAAGACAAAACTAAACTTCTTGTACATGAACAACCCCTGAGACCAGTGTGGCAAAGTCGAGCAGTTTATTCTGCAACTAAAATTAATATATAGATGGGTAAAGAATGACCATGCCATCTTTAAAGAAGTTTCCCCTAAAGATAAAGATCTAGGAGAATAATCAATTATTACACTAAAGGAATAATAAATCCACAATATTAGTGACATAACTTTAGTAAGATTGTTTAATTATTTACAGTACAGTTTCTATCACAATCATAAATCAAAGCAGCGTGTGAAACAATAAAAATTACATATCGGTCATATAAATAATAACGCAAAATATAATATAAAATAACAAATATAAACTCTGATAACTCGAATAACACTATATATCCTAATTATAACCATGAGGGTTGAACAGGACATTGTTGTAAAAACTACTACTATTACATCTTCATTATTAGCAGTGTTTAACAGTCGTATTTTGACGTCATTCTTTTTCCGCATTCAGAACCTTTGAGTTTTACTACAAGCAACGTCATATTTCAGATTAGTTGCAAACATGAAGCACCGCCAGTTTGAAGCCCTAGGTAAAGGTCAGGGTCACAGACTGAAAAGAGGAATGTCTTGGAGGGCGCAAGCTGAAGACTCAATCAGACATGTGTGCAGACCTGACAGTTGAAATCGAGGAGAGGAGTGGGACAAGGTGTACTAACAAGTTTCAGACTTGTGCAGGATTCTTATCACTTTGGGTCATGAGTGCAAAAACTAGCCAACTGGTGCTGCAGAATAAGAATTCAACAAATGATTCATGACAATTCCCGCCCAGGTGATATGATTATATATATAAATAAAGAAGGCTCTGTGTTGAGAGGTAGACGGGGTTCATGGGTTTTCATGGCAAAAGCGAATGGACGTCGCGCTGTACAACAAAGCCTTGCATATGATATCACAACGTCTGGTTTGAGAATGGAGGTGAAGGGCAGTCACTGCTGCCTCCAGTTAGCTTAAGAATCAGCTGTACAGACATAAATTAATTGTAACTGATCCACAAAGTTTGTTGAGAAAGGTGTCCTCCGTGCAGAGTGGCAAGTATCGCTTCAGAGGTCCCGGGTAATTGGCGTCCTTTGGATATTCTCTCCAGGTCATGCAGGTGTATTGGGAAACGAGCAGGCTGATAGACTTGGTGGTGAATTCATGTATGACAAGATGGATATAGTAAGTGCCCTTTGGGAGCGAGTGAGCAGTGTGGAGGCACAAATATATTATTTCGGTCTGAGGAGAAAGGTTGCAACGGGGAGTTACCAGGGAATCTGGTAGGCGCTCAATATTCAAGGGAAAGGCGGGACGGATGTACAAAAGGACAGTTACTGTATCATCGGAATTCGAACTCTTTGCTTGCTGCTGAAGATGGGGACAGGGCACTTATGGGAGTGTCCTGAGCTGTGTGATGTCGATTCTTAATTCACCATTCGAGGTTCACTGCTGCAGGAATCACCCGCCTCCATTAATTTATGTGGTTGGCCTTCTCTTTCCAGTTTGTTACTCCAAGAGTGCAAATCAAATAGTTTGCACACTTAGAGAGAGAGAAAGAGAGAGAGTGCCTTGTGATAGAAACACAAAAATAGAAAAAAGGACGTAGAGCACAAGGTAGACCAAGAACAAGAGGGACAGATAACATCAGAGAAACTCTACAACAACATGGGGTGTCTATGATCGAGGCGGCCAGGAAAGCAGCAAGCAGAATCTCATAGCCCTCTCCACACTCGAAGCGATAAGAAAGGAAGTGATGAAAAAGAAGAAGAAGAAAACTCCAAGAGTTTGTAGGTTTGCCTACATATTATCTCTCCACCGGTGAAGTCTGCTTTGAGATCTACTCCCATTTAACGTTTTCAGTCACAGAAGGCTTCAAACTAGAAACCTAATTTGGCACAATATTCATAGTGAAATAGGCATCGGGGTATGACTTTCAAAAATCCAATGCACGGCATTTAAAATGTTTGGCCAGATTTCTTTTGGGTACCTAGACCAAATATGAAAAAAAAAAAACAACCAAAAAAAAAAAAAAAAACATAATAATAGCACTCAGTGTGTTACGTTTAGGGGCATAGACATAATCTCCACACTCACGGAGCGTTGCTAGGGTCAGAAAGAGTTAACCAGTTAATAACATTGGATGTAGTCAATAGTTTGCTATCTGTGATGTTTTTGTTTCCGCCAGCCGGCCCGGGAACTATTTCTTTAAATGTCCTAGTCTGTGGGTGCAAAAAAGATACAGGACACTGCTGCAGGGGATATGGAACTGATTAAAACGACGGATCAACATCATGACACAAGGGTAATAACTTGTACCGAATAGTGATTTTCACTATTCGGCCGAATACGAATAGCGGGACCAACTATCCGACCGAATACGAATACGAATAGTGTATCATCATCATCAGGTGCCTTGCCGACTGGCGTGGGCGAATAGGTTTGCCCTAATGTGCCAAATTCGGTGCAGTCGGAGTATATGCTTTGCTGTTTGGGGCACCATTCAACAGGTGCATGGCTGATACGCCTATCTTAAATTTTGTGTACACGTGGTTACTTCTTCTTCTTCTTCTTATTCGCGTTCACCAGCTGTACACTCTGGCGTAAAGTTATGGTTGTTCGTCCACTTCTGGACTGCAGTCCTGCTCCAGAACCTGAGTGTTGCGTGTGCATCAGTTTTACAGATCTGATTCAATTTAATGTAGACTGCTGGTTCCTTGCCTCTGAGGCAGATGCACTCCGACCTCAAAGGAAGCTCCCCAGTTAGTCGACTCTTACGACATGCTTTTGGGGAGGCAGTGGGTCTATTCTTGTTTTCCCCACAATAGGGCCCCGGAAGCCACACGGGCCACACGGGGGACACGTGGTTACGTAATCCGGTGTTCCCTGTTATGAGGGGGAGGATAATGACTTTGTACACTCCAGCACCACCATTTGTAACTGCACTTTGTGCGGACCAATTTGTATAGACACAGACCCATTGTTCTTGTGGGTATTCTTCATCAATATAACTGAGGATGGCCATCCTGCGTTGCATACTATCTTGCTATTTCTTATCAAATATTCCTTTCACATTTGTCTGGATTTGTACTGTAAGTCTGCATCCCCCCCCCCCCCTATGGGGTTTGTTCTGGAATACTTTTAAATGAAAAACCAATTTCTGGATGGTCAGTAGTTTGTCTACATATGTGTGTGTCTGTGTGTGTATGTGTGTGTGTGTGTGTGTGTGTGTGTGTGTGTGTGTGTGTGTGCATGCACTAGAGCTGATTCTTTTTAACCGTCCCAAGGCTAGGTTCTAAAATATATTTTTTTCTTGGGGGGATCTGGCATACTGAAGAACTTTTCAGCTTGCATTTGCAACTTTGTATCTTTGCGTTCTCTCAGTGTCTGTATTTTCCCAGCTTTCTCCATTTCTAATATGGGGGGAAGGGGGGGGGGGTTTGATTTCATCCTTCATGTGATGACTCTAAGCGTTTGCTTTTGCACTTTGTCCAACTGCTTTAATGTGGCACTGGATGCTGAACACCATGCAGTTGACCCATATTCCTAGTTTGGTTGTATGCTCTGCGTGTAAACCACACCCCCCCCCCCTCCCCTAAACAATTGGGCGTGTTCTTCTGTATTTCTGTTTATTTCAATACATCCATTATCTGACGGAAATCATTCACACAGACAATCAAATAATCACATATTTACTGCAGACGCGATTGTTTCTTTCTCTTTAGTGAGTCTGATTTTACTACAGTGAAGATTAGATTCACGAGTACTGATTGACACCTCTCAGGAGAGGTATATTGTTGCAGTGAGTTGTTGGCCAGTTGCACTGAACTGTTGGTTAGTCACATTGGACTGTTGCTCACTAGCATTGAACTGCCGGACAGTTGCAGTGTGCGATTGGTAAATAGCACTGATCTGTTGTGAAGCTGTAGTGAGCTTTGTTCAGTTGCAGTAAGCTTTGGTTAGTTACAGTGAACTGTTTGTCAGTTGCAGTGAATGTCTGGTAAATTGCACTGAATTGTTGTAATGTTGTAGTGAGCAGCTGGTCATTTGCAGTGAGCTTTAGTCAGTTACTGTGAACTGTTTGTCAGTAGCAGTGAGCGTTTGGTAAATTCCACAGAACTGTTGTCCAGCTGCAGTGAGCGTTTGGTCAACTGCACTGAACTGTTGTTCAGCTGCATTGGGCTATTGTTTAGTTGTAGTGAGCTGGTTTTCAATTGCTGTTGGCTGTAGGTCAGTTGTAGCGAACTTCTCCTCAGTCACACTGAACTGTTGCTCAGTCACGAGGAACTGTCATTTGCATTGAACTTTTGCATATTTACAGTGAACTGTTACTTGAGTTGTAGAGTGCTGTCAATTTAAGTGAACTGTTGCTCAGTTGCACTGAACTGTTGCTCAGTTGCACTGAACTGTTGGTCAGGTATGTGAGTTTGTATATCCTGTTTAGACAGGCAATTTTCAGGTTTGGCCTTTCTTAGCCTTTAATTGCCTCTCGTCTTACTACAATGCAGCAGGTTATTACAAAGCACGAGCCTCGAAGCTTCATAAATCCTCATAAGAATTGTACTCGTGAACCAAACGAGGCAGTTCATCAGCGTCTATCAATATTTATGTCCAGCGGTCTCATTTTTTCATTCTCTTTCTTTTACCTTCTACTCCGCTCATGATTGTTGGGTGACAATGTGTCAGTTTCATCTCTCCTCCCATTCCCCCCCCCCACCCAACCTTAGCCTATCTTTACCCGAACCTCCAAAATTGGCGCAGCTCTCCAAAAT